TTCAGTCCTAGGCCCCCAATTCTTTCCACTCGGTACCCTTTCCACAGGCCAGGTTCATCTACAAACATTCTAGGCAAGACTTCTCTACTCTCCATACCTAATTATACAACATCCTACTCAAAACAGCAATTAGATGTCTCAAAGACAGCTCAAATTCAACATGCCGAAAACTGAACTTATGACTATTCCCTCCCTCCAACCTGTATAACCTATAAATGGCACCTGTTGTTTCTATAAATGGCACCAGTTCTGAATCAAAACTTTAAAAGACACCCTTCATACTTCTCCCTCAGTTAATCGATTACCAAGGCTTGTTTCTTCTAACATCTAAATAAGTCTCAAATTCATTTAATTTTCCCTACCTCTACTGATACCGTCCTTTATGAGCCTTGACTTCAATGACACTAGTCTGTAGTACACTTTATCATCCCTACAGGTTCATTTCTCTCTACCTAGCCATGAAATGCCAGAGTTTCTCTGGATTGAGTCCTATCCTCTTTCTTGCTCTTGCTGTATCCTGAATCACTCTACAGGTTAACTCAAACTCAAGCATTGCTTCAATTATTTTTTAGTGACAGAGTCTTCACATTTAATGCTCAGTTTATATTATGAGGGATGGAACTCTAAACCTAACAGGCTATTTGACATCTTCACTTGAATAACTGGATCAACCAAAAGACAATTCAATTTAATTCATCTAAAACCGTATTTATACTAACCCCTAAACCTGATCTCCTAGCACCACCATCTCAGTGAATGATGTCACTGTCCATCCCAGAACAAGCCACAAACCAAGTGAAGCGTCCTTGACAACTCCATCTCTTCTATCCTCCATATCTGACCCATCTCTAAGTCCTGCCGCTTTTATCTGCCAAATACCTCTGAAATTGGCTCCCTTTTTTCTAGCTCTGTCACCACGACCTAACCAAGTCACTCATGCATTCACTAACTGGAAGCTCACTCTAACCAAGCACTACTTTAGGTACTGAGGAGGTGGGAACAAATAAACAGACAATCCAGCATAAGGGAACTTACAATCCAGAGTAAGAGCAGATAATAAATAAATATGTACTATTTTGCAGTGACGAGTACTCAGAGAAAATAAAGCATGGTGAAGGAATAAAGAATGTGGAGGACAAGAGACCATGTTCAGATGAGCTGTGACTAATTGATAAAGTGCGAACTGAGCAGAAACCTGTATAGTGCAAGGAAGTGAGTCATATGGGCTCCTGGCTGCCAGGAAGAAAAATGGTCCAGGAGAGGAAAAAGCAAGTGCAGAGGCCCTGCGGTGGGAGCCTATTTGGCCTGCCTGACAAACTACAAGGAGACCAGGGTGATTAGAGTTCTCCAATAAAGGGCAGAGAGGAAAGAGATGAAGGTGAAAAGGTAGCCAGAACCAGACCACAAAGGCCTCTGAGGGCCATGCCGGGGGCTTTATACTGTGTTCTATGTGGCAGAAGCCACGAGAGGCTTTGGGCATCAGAGTGAGATAACCTGATCTACATTTTAAATAGACCATTCTAGCAGCTACAAGGAAAAAAGATGTTGGTGGCAGGAGGGGAAGGCACGGGGCAAGAACAAGACTAACTTAAACATGTTAAACACACTTCACTTTGTAAGAAATCCACTGTTTAAAACTACTGCATGCTATTTCATTAGATTGCTGCTATATCCCCTATAGCACTACTCTGCAAATTAGAAAAAGATCCCTACTCTCTGTGCAGATGCGGCCCCAACAAATCTCAGCAAGTTGAAGGCAGCCCATAAGTGACTGCTCAGCTGACCATCCTGCCAGGTTCATTCTGCCCTGAATTCTCGCATAAATAAAACAAAGGAAGAGAAAAAGACAAAGAAAAGCACTTTCTCATTGGAGGGAATTGTTTACCCAAATCATCATTGGGTTTTTTAATTTTTGAATTAAAGAATATTTTTACTTTGGGTGTAAACTAAACTCATGAGATGTTCAAGTTGATTTAATCACATTATTCCTGGTTTATATATATATATATATATATATATATATATTTATAAACCATATACATGCCATATAAACCACTGCATGCTATAGCAACAATCTAATGAGACTGCTCCCTGAAAGGAAAGCTATGACAAACCTAGACAGTGTATTAGAAAACAGAGATATCTTTCCCCAAAAGAGCCCATATAGTCAAAGCTATGGTTTTTCCAGTAGTCATGTATGGATGTGAAAGTTGGACCATAAAGAAGGCTGAGCACCAAAGAATTAATGCTTTTAAACTGTGGTGTTGGAGAAAACTCTTCAGAGTCCCTTGGACTGCAAGGAGATCAAACTAGCCAATCCTAAAGGAAATCAACCCTGAATATTCACTGGAAGGATTGATGCTGAAGCTGAAGCTCCAATACTTTGGCTACCTGATGCAAAGAGCTGACTCAATGGAAAAGACCCTGATGCTGAGAAAGATTGCAGGCATAGAAGAAGGGGGTGGCAGAGGATGAGACGGTTGGATGGCATCACTGACTCAATGGACATGAGTTTGAGGAAACTCTGGGAGATAGTGGAGGACAGAGGAGCCTGGTATGCTGCAGACCATGAAGTCACAGAGAGCCAGACACGACTGAGCAACTGAACAATTATATACATATACACACATATAATATACATAATATTCCAGAAAACTGATTATAGACTTTGGACTCATTTCTTAAGTAAGAGACTCAGATGAGATGTGTACCTTTTGAGTCATTCCCTCCTATCTCTCAATATAAAACATATGGATCTAGGGATGACAGTTTGTTTTCCCTTTTTGTTTGTTTTTCCTATTTGTGAGTAGTTTTGAAGTGAAAATAATATTTTAAAAAACATATTTGGAGGCAACTAAAGATCCTAGGAGTCCTACCTTGGAAGCATAAGCTTTTCTGTCACTGGTTGTTCAAAGGGTTGGTTTTTGGCTCTGGTCTAGAGTTAATAATCGAAATGCTTCCAAGAACATCCAGGTCCTTCACCTGAGCACACAGGGAAGTGAGTTCCTCTTGGAATGAAATTGTTCCGAGGGTATTTTAGCCCAGGAAGATGAGGGATTCACCAGGGGTGCAGGAGGGACACAACACATGCCAGCACTCCCAGGACACCCCATCTGACTGTCACCTTTGACCAAAGAGAAGAAGTTCATTGCATCAAGAGAAATGCACACACTGGTTGGCTCTGACGTCTTTACTTCCTCCAGACACCCACTCAGAGTTTTCCTTCAATTTCCCAAACCTGAGAAGGACTCCACATCTCTGCTAGGTGGCCTTGGGGTCTCTCTGGACAGCTCTGGACTCCAGTCATACTTTCTATTCAGTTTAATCCAACTAACACTTCACTCAGGAAGGGGGACTCATGGATCAGAGTCTCCTGAGGTGAAGGGAAAAGGAACAATTCTTCCTTTTCTTCCTCTGACCTTTCCTGCCAGACTCAGCCCATACCTGACAGAGGGACTGACATCCTTCCTGACTCTCCACTGGCTCCTCGCTGCCTGAGTTCTGTGTTTACTCTGTGGTGGTCTCCAGAAGTTTCCACAAAATTAGTGTATTTCTCCCAAATGACAGTTAAAAGATATAAACAAAGAAAAAGTGTGGTTTCCACCTCAAAAGATCTCACCTTGTACGATCTCACCTTAGGAAGAAAGCATTCTCCTAAAGGTATGTGGGCTTTAGGGATGGATATGGCCTGTCCTGCAGTCCATCTGCTGGTGACTTCTCCTCAGGCTCAATCACAGATTCTTCCCTCTTAACCCATCTCATAAACACTGAGGGTTCCTGGGACTCTTGTCTGCTCCTCTATTACTTTATCTGCTCAGCTCAAGGCTTCAAATGCCACCTTCGCACTGACGCCTCCCTGACCTCCCTGTTCAGTTCCAACCCATAAATTCTTCTACAGCTGTTTACGGGTAACCTGTACCCGTATTTTGCTCACATCTCAAATGAAACCCATCCCACACCAAACTTGTCCTATACCTTTAAAAAAGGGGCCCCTATTTTTTCCTTCTGAACCCACTGCATGTGTCTTCTAGGTAATGTCTTGCTTACATTATGCAATAATCTCCAGAAGGTTCCCACCTCTAGTTTTTCCTCACTTCAAATCTAAGCCCAACAATGTTTTTGAAGTGACTATTCTTATTAAATTCAAATTACAAAATAAGGACTTAATTAATATATTCTCTGTGAAAATTTTAATTATATTACATGTAAATGAAGTCACTTTTCATCATGCCCATTCTCAATCCTAATCCAAATGGAACTGGTTACCAGGTTAGGTGTCCCCTGACTTTTCTCTCAGGACACCTAGTATGCATACCAACAAACATACATGTAAGTTTCTCTAGACATAAATGGTGACATGTCATAATTGTGCTCCACAATTCGCTTTTCAGTCCCTTACATGCCTTGGAGCTCTGCCTCCACCAGTGCTCTTTCTTTATGACTGTGGTGTTGTCAGTGTAGGTGTGCTTGGCTTCTTTAGGCATGATTTTACCGAAGGTTATCTATAGTATCTCAGACTGAGGCCATTTTTTTCTAGAATATCAAGGACCATATAATTCTTTGGTTTAAAATCCTTGAGTTTTTTCCAGTCAACCATGGACAGCTCCCATCCCTAAGAACTGAACCAAAGCGCTTCACAGTGTGACCCCGACCTGGCTTTCTAGTCTATTTCCTTCCTCATCTCTTTCTTTTCCCATGACCCTGGGCTTCAGTCAGAATGAATCTGCTGCAGTTCCTTCAGTACACTAAGCTTGCTGAATGAATACCTGAAAATGCAGCTCTCCTCTGAAACAAGAGGAAAGAGTAAGAAAAAAGATCCTGAAAGCTACCTGTGAAGTATCAGAGGAAAAGAGGAAGCTTGCAAACGGGGGCCTTAGCATCCCTTCTCTACCACCTCTTGAGCACTGAGAAGCCAGGAAAACTTCCCTGACCAACATCTTCAAGTCACACACCCACTCGTTTACCAGACTGCTGCCTGCAGAGATTCCCCACCCACTCACCTAGAGAGGTGCCTCCAGGGCTTTCTTTCTCTACCTTCCAGGGATCTTCTCCTTGCTGCAACAGGGAGATCACTTTGGGTTTGGGAAATAGGAGTCCTGCTCATAGAGCGAAAAAAGAAAACAAAAAGACTTGATTTTGCCTTGACGCAAAAAAGGATCTGAAATCTGAGTAGAAAACTCAAAGGATGATACAAAGAACTTCTGTGGGGTGCTTAAGTTGTGACCCCACGATGTGAGGGGGTATGTTAGGGTAAAGACAAGGGACAATGCAGCATTTAGTTGTATGTCAGTGAGGCATGATAAATGTGCAGCCTTGATTAATAGGGATAAACAGTTTCCTATACAAGAGGGAATATGCATACACTGTTAAATGCATGTTACATATACAGACTAAATTAACATTTGTAAAAGGTATCTATGGAAAGGATTATGTATCAAGAAGCTTGTTTAAAATGAGAAAACACTATCTGACCCCTTTGAAAGATGGCAGCAGTCAGCAAACTATGGGTCTCATATGCCAAATCTAGACTACCATCTGTTTATGTATGTCTCTTGAGCAAAGAATGGTTGAAAAAAAAAAAGAGTATGTTACAGAGACCATATATGGCCCACAAAACCTAAAATACTTACTCCCTGGCCCTTTAAAGAGAAAATTTGCTGACCCCCGTAAAAGATAATTGAGAAAAGCAAGTGTTGGGTCAAAGAAGAGGGCTGAGGGATGCTCTGTTAAGAGATGAGCAAACACATCATAGCTCAGTCTTAGAGGGAAAATGAGGGAAGTGCCTATAATGAGGGAATTTCTAATGTGCAGCTCTGTAGACTGTCCCATCCATGAGGCAATTCCATGCCTATGAAGGGGAAAAAGTTTTTTGGATTTATTTATGGAGATCCAGTTTGTACAGTGCTAAGGCAAAAAGACAAAAAAAAAAAAAAAACAACTCAGATAAAGTTTTTAAATGACCCAGGGCTTTTATCCAGGGAATCAGGTACTGAGGTATCCAGATTTCTGAATTCTGTACCTACAGGGGAAATTTCCTTACCCAATGAGACAAGATTACTATAATTCTCCAGCATCACATCTTGGTACAAGTTTCTCTGAGGAGGAGCCAGCTTTCTCCACTCATCCCGTGTAAAGAGCACAGCCACATCTTCGAACGTCACTGACACCTGTAGAGACAAGCCATCCCAGCTCAGCCAGGACCACCCATCACACAGGGTGAAAAAGGTGGCAGTGGGTAGTAGATGGGCTACCATGAAATGCTTCTATACTATTCTGGGTTGTGAAACTTCCAGATCATTTGTTTAATGAACAACTGACCTGTGACAAATATATACTGAGTAGCATGAAGTATGAACCAGGCCCTGTTAACCACTACAAAAGATGTGTGGAGGTATTAATGCCATTAGTGGGAATGTCAATTAGAATAATCTTTCTGATGGCGATTTGACAACACACATTACAAGCTTTAAAATGTGCATATTCTTTAATGCTCCAATTACTGTATTTGTTTGATAATGAACAGTGAACAAAAATGTACATAAAAGGATGTTTATCGTCATCCTACTAACAGCAAAGAAATGGAAACAAATAATCACTGAGAGGGATTCGTTTACATAACTTAAGGCACTATATTTGTGCTCCCTGAAACTTGAAGACAGTAACAATGAAAAGTAAAACAGCTATCATTTATTGAAAGCTTTTTTCAGGCCAAGTACTATTCTTAGAGCTTTATATTAATCTTTAGTGTAAATCTTTGTCTTCACAACAACCCTATGAAATTATCTCCACTTTACACATGAGAAAGCAAAGGAGAAATTTATCCAAGTCACACAGCTGGTATGAAGGAAAAATCACCCCTCTTGTAAGTCTCTTTGACTCTTAACACAGTACTATTTCACTTTTGACACCAGATGTGGGGGGTTTTCCATACACCAAGCAATTGTGCAACACCTGCTGGCTGTCTTACAATGAGACTCAATTCTGACACTGAGGGTAGTGTCAGATCCACAGGTTAAAGGATCCGTACCACAACACTGGCCCCCCTTCAATGTCAATCACAAGTCCAGGTTGTTACCCGTGTTTCTGACTGACTGGCTATAAACTGGAGCTTTCCACAACACTCTCCTAAGGTTTGATTAATTTGCCAGAGTGGCTCACAGAACTTAGGAAAACATTTACTTACTAGATTACTGGTTTATGATAAAAAGAATGTAACTCAGGAACTGGCAGATGAAAGAGATGTACAGGAAAGGGGTGCACTATGGATTTGCCATTTTCTCTGACTCTTTAAATGTTCACCAGCCTGGAAGAACTCTGAACCCTTGTGGATTTTTATGAAGGTTCATTACATAGGCATGATTGATTAAATAATTAATTGACCATTAGCAACTGATTCAACTTTCATCTCTTAGGGTGGTGGTGGGTGGGTAACATGGGTATAGGGGGCAGGACTGAAAGCTCCAACCCTTTAATCAAGCTTCCCTGGCAATGAGTCCCCATCTTTAGGTGGGGTCCAAAAGTCACCAAACTAACTCTGGTGTGAATGAAAGGCCTTGTTATGAATAACAAAGCACATCCATTTTGTCTTCATTGCTCTGAAGTAATTTCAGGGATAAAAATCATTTATTACTAATCACTTAGGAAATCACAAGGGTTTGGGAAATTATGTGCCAGAAACAAGGACAAAGACCAAATATATACTTCATATTATAAGTCACAATATCACAGCTGGTCAGTGGTAGAGATAGAATTCCAATCCAGGGAACATCCAAGGCTTCATACTTAACCACTCTGCAAAACTTCCTCTCAACGCCTACCTCACAGGGTTAAGAAATAAATGAGATAATCCATACAGTTAAGATAAACAGTGATGATGTAACACAACAATATGAATGTTATTTAATGTCAATGAATTATATACTCAAAAATGGTTAAAGTGGTAAATTTAATCTTATGTATATATTATCACAATGAAAAATTAAAAGAGATTAGATCTGGTAGACAGTGCCTGAAGAACTATGGATGGAGGTTCATAACATTGTACAGGAGGGGGTGACTAAAACCATCCCCGAGAAAAAGAAATGCAAGAAAGCAAAGTAGTTGTCTGAGGAGGCCTTACAAATGTGAGAAAAGAAGAGAAGTGAAAGGCAAAGGAGAAAGGGAAAAATATACCCAGCTGAATGCAGAAGTCCAGAGAACAGCAAGGAGAGAAAAGAAAGTCTTCTTAAGTGAACAATGCAAAGAAAAGAAAAGTACACACATACATTATGAACATAAATAAATAATAAATAAAGGTATAAAGAAAATTATTCTGAAGGCTGCATACCAAAGGAATGACCATTATTTTGTCCAGGGGATGCTGGCATAAGAGTGATTTTACTTTCTTTTTTATATATGTATTTTTTATTTTCTGAATTTTTTAACATTAACATGCAGTGCCAAATAATAAGATAATTTATTGGCACAGGGGAGGGATATAAGAAATGATCTTTGCCCTCAAAAGAAGTAACAATCCAACTGGTAGACAGGAAAAATGCATGAATAATTTGAGCAATGAAAGAAAAAAGTGTTGCTGGAAAAGACTATATACCATTTCCTAGTTTAATCCTCATTTTAGAGATGAGGAACATAAGATCCAGGGCACATACTACATTATCTATGGCAGAGACAAGACAGTAACTGAAGTTTTCTTCTAACCCAGCACTTGGTGGGTATATTCACTCTCTAGTCTTAAACGTCCTGTCACTGAGTTTTATACACATGTCCACACAGGACTGATGTACAGACAGCAGGTGAGGTTAGGGAGAAATGTCATATAGGACTCATACACAGGGACAGAGAAGATTTGGGGCAAGAGAGCAGCTTGGCTCTGCTGGAATGGAATGAGAAAGCCTTAGAAGAAAGCAACCCAAATGTGCAAAGGCAGGTCCTAGCCATAGCCGCAGATCAACCACCACATTTCATGGGTTCAGAAAATATACAATATTCTATTGCAGACAGCTCTGGTAATTTGGGGGTTAGGCTTGCCCTGTGTTCTGAGAAGAGGTAAAAGAGGAATGACTGGACGATAACCAACATGAACTTAGAACCTGGGTTTGATTTCAGATTACCTGACTTTGTTGAGCCTCAGTGGCAAGTGTAAAATGGGGGTAATAACTTCTACTTTGCTATAACAGTGAGAATAAAGCTAAAGCCCTCGGGATATTCCCTAGTAACATTACCTATTATGGTTAGATGAGGATGAGTAAAAGACGAACACTGTACCATCATTTCTATCTACCAACAATAATAGTATCATATATTATATTAATATCATTCGGCCGCCACAACCATCACATACTGAATAGCTATTATGCGCCTGGCCCTGATCAAAACTTTTTCCATGCACTAATTCCCAGGATCCTCTCATCTATGCTAGGAGGTAGGCATGGATGTTTTCTTTACACAGGTGAAGAAACTGAGGCACATTAACAGCAACAGAGAAGATGGGCACAAACCTGGCCATCCGGTTCAAAAGAACCACTCAGTAATCACTGTATACCCTACTCTCCACTACCAATATCCTATGGAACTCTCACTGCTGCTTCCTGAGGAGTCTTCTCTCTACTCTTGGAGTCAAGAGACTACTCCATCTACATCCCCTCCAACATGGTTATCCTTTATTTGCACACTAGCTCAGCGGGATGGGGTCCCACTCTCACTTTCACAGCATAAAGATGAAAACGGCAGGTCAAGAGCAGTTTTCAAGGCAGTGATGGAAACAAGCTACATGATCCAGAAAGTTACGAAGGAGAAAAAACGAAAAACTATGGACTGGGCAAAGCCTCAGAAAGTATCATGAGATTCTCAGGGGTGGAAAGAAAAAGAAAAGCATTCTGGCCAAGGGTAGGGAGGGGGAAATGAGTTAGCAAAGGGAGTATGTCAGAAAGGAACTCTGCCAAGGGTGTATGTTTGTTTGTTCTGACCCCAAGTGGTATAAGACATATGGTATCTTACTTCTCAAACCAGTAATCATATAGTAAGTTGAGGTTAATGACTAAAAGAGCACCTATTAGGGGGTAAAAAAAAAAAAAGGGAAACACTGGACATGGATGGCGGAGGGTGGGATGGGGAAGGGGAAGGCAAATATTCTCTACAGAACCCATTATCCACCAGTGTAAGAGTTCTTTCAAGAGAAAAGGACTTGAGCTCCAAATCCTGGCGAAAACTGTATTGGGTACAGAATTTTACTTTGAGGGTAAAAAACCCCACCTGTCCTTAAGACCTGAGAGGACAATGAACTCACCTGAGACCTTGCTTCCCTCTGTTCAGTAGCCATGTCTTCTTTCTGGGCAGTGTCCCCTGAGGATGGGTGAAGTCTCCAGAAGCCAGATCTGAGGGAAGACAAAGCGAGCCAGGAGGAAGCCCCTTCTGTTTTCCACCCCTCTGAATCAGCAGCTCTGAATCATTTACACTCCCTGAGAATGATGCCAAGTGCCCTCAGAGAAGGAAGTCAGAAGCAGCCAGGGGTAGACAGGACCAGACAGAAGGGCTGGGTCATCCTGTTCCAGGCCCAGCTCTTTCCCTGGCTCAGTGAAAAACGTCCTAGGATTCAACCAGCAGCAGCAGCAACTCCTTGAGCCTCATGAAGTGCCAGGCACTAAGTGCATTACTGAGCACGGTTGACACTGTCAGCCCCCATTTTATGGATCAGGAAACTGAGGGCAGAGTGGGAGCAACTTGCCCCAGTCCACACAGCCAGGGAGGCTGGCATCTGCTCTAAACTCCCTGCGTGCATATGTGACAACTTTTCTGCACTTCGAGTCTGCCCACCCAACTCGTCCTCCTCCTTGCAAGGAAACAATGTCCAGATTTTTAGAGAAAACTGCTTTGGAAAGGGAAAGTATCAGTTCTCCTATGGCGGAGGAGGCTGCTGTCTTGAGAAACGAGGTACAGACAACCAGAGACCTGGATTCCAGTCCTGATTCTGCCACTGGGGGAAGCCGGCGATTCACTTCTCAGGCAAAACAAGCCTGTCACTAGGGAGAGCAGCGGCGACGGTAGGGGAAGGAGATTATTTTCTCACGTCCACTGCCGGCCCAGAGCAATTCAAACGCCGGAAGGAGCCAGGCCGGTAGCGCGCTGGGAACCTATCTGGAGGAAGCAGAAGGATGGCTGAGCCCGGCCAAAAGGGAGGAAGTGTCCGACTTGCGGCGTTCAGGGCACGTCTGTGGGAGGCGGTGGCGTCAGGCGGACAGAGCCCGGATGCCCGGCCCTCGGCCCGCTGGCGCCCACAAAGGCCCAGCTCGCTCATGCTGGGCCTGTGTCCCGTGCCCCGACGCCGCATCCTCCCGAGGCCGGGTCTTCCCTCCCGCCTCCCACCGACCCTCCGCCGCTCACCTCACCTAGGCCTCTGGAGTTCCGTGGGCTGCAGGTGGGAGGCTCCGGAATTGCCACAGCCTGACAGCAGCTTCGGGTCTGGACTCGCCCGAGGTGCTGCCTGGGCCAACCTCAGGCCAGGCGGCTGCTCACGCCAGCTGCAGGAGCCAGGCACCCCAAGTAGGTACAGGAGGGGCGGGGCAGGGACTGTCGCTATACCCCTCTGGGAAATGTAGTTCACACGAGAACCCAAGGATTCTGGGACGTGTAGTTCGCTGCCCTTGTCTGCGAGGAGAGGCCCCTCTTTTTTGAGCTGCTCACTCGCCCAGACCCAGACCCCGTTCGTCGTCGCTCTATGAGCTGCTGACTCCTGGGTTCCGAGTTCTGAGAGGAAACGGAGGTTCATCGAGGACAGTGTCTTGTAGCTCTGCATCTGTGTAAATGATAATCAGGTCAAGTAGACCACCGTCAAGAACAAACCTATTTAATTAGCTGTAAGGGAATTAATGTCTAGGCTGCAATTTCCATTGTTCTCCTGAGCAAGGAAGGTCCTCTTCTCTTTTAATTCTCCAAATAGCCCTCTTCCCAGTAACTAGAGGACTCTTGTCCTCCTGCAGTGCCCAGTGGTGTTAAACTCTCTGGAGTACCACAATTTAGGAATACTAAAATGAGTCTTTTCTAGGAAGACTTCTTCCCTGATTACTGAAAGACCCGACATATGGGGCTTCCCTGTCTTCAGTCATGTTTCTCTTAAAAATGGGGTTTACAGGTCCTAAGCGGGAGAAGGCGATGGCACCCCACTCCAGTACTCTTGCCTGGAAAATCCCATGGACGGAGGAGCCTGGTAGGCTGCAGTCCATGGGGTCCCTAAGAGTCGGACACGACTGAGCAACTTCACTTTCACTTTTCACTTTCATGCATTGGAGGAGGAAATGGCAACCCACTCCAGTGTTCTTGCCTGGAGAATCCTAGGGACGGAGGAACCTGGTGGGCTGCCATCTATGCGGTTGCACAGAGTCGGACACAACTGAAGTGACTTAGCAGCAACAGCAGCAGGCCCTAAGCAGGCTCTGGAACCAGATACTTCAACAGTTTGGTAGTGGTGGTAATTCAATAGTGCCTTCTCATCTAGTCGGGGCTTCCCTGATACCTCAGTTGGTAAAGAATCCACCTGCAATTCAGGAGACCCTAGTTCAATTCTTAGGTCAGGAAGATCTACTGGAGAAGGGAATAGGCTACCCACTCCAGTATTCTTGGGCTTCTCTTGTGGCTCAGCTAGTAAAGAATCCACCTGCAATGTGGGAAACCTGGATTTGATCCAGTTGGGAAGATCCCCTGGAGAAGGGAAAGGCTACCCACTCCAGTATTCTGGCCTGGAGAATTCCATGGACTGTATAGTCCATGGGGTCACAAAGAGTCGGATATGACTGGGCAACTTTCACCTCACTTCACTTTTCATCTAGCCAACAAACTGTCGAATAACGCGCTGCTTTTGAGAAAGAGTGAATGGCAAGAACAAAACAATGAGGGCTCTGATAAAGACAATATTGAGTGCTTAAAATGGCACGTACCCACTTTTTTTTAAAAGCAAGCATTGTTCTTCTGCAAGAGATGATGTGAAAAATATTTCTAAATGTATGCCAATCAGAGAACCATAATGAGCTTACTCATTGATGTCAACTTTGTTTTCAGCTCTGCTCAATATTCATCTACAGGAGAGGATGTTAAATGTCAGACCTGTCTTTTTTTTTTTATAACACCCACCAAGCTGTAAACTCAATTGTAACACAGTTTACCTGGAGATACCATGGACAGAGGAGCCTGGAAAGCTACAGTCCATGGAGTCACAAAGAGTCTGTAGAGTACATCATGAGAAATGCTGGGCTGGATGAAGCACAAGCTGGAATCAAGATTGCTGGGAGAAATATCAATAACCTCAGATACACAGATGACCCTATGCTTATGGCAGAAAGTGAAGAGGAACCAAAGAACCTCTTGATGAATGTGGAAGAGGAGGGTGAAAAGATGGCTTAAAACTCAGCATTCAAAAAACTAAGACCATGATATCCAGTGCCATTACTCCATGGCAAATAGATGGAGAAACAATGAAAACACTGACAGACTTTATTTTCTTGGGCTCCAGAATCACTGCAGATGGTGACTGCAGCCATGAAATTAAAAGACGCTTGCTCCTTGGAAGAAAAGCTAGGACCAACCTAGACAGCATATTAAAAAGCAGAGACATTACTTTGCCAACAAAGTTCTGTCTAGTCAAAGCTATGGTTTTTCCAGTAGTCATGTATGGAAGTGAGAGTTGCACTATAAAGAAAGATGAGTGCCAAAGAATTGATGCTTTTGAACTGTGGTGTTGGAGAAGACTCTTGAGAGTCCCTTGGACTGCAAGGTGATCAAACCAGTCAATCCTAAAGGAAATCAGTCCTGAATATTCATTGGAGGGACTGATGCTGAAGCTGAAACTCCAATATTTTGGCCACCTGAAGTGAAGAACTGACTCCTTGGAAAAGACCCTGATGCTGGGAAAGATTCAAGACAGGAGGAGAAGTGGATGACAGAGGATGAGATGGCTGGATGGCATCACCGACTCGATAGATCTGGCTTTGAGCAAGCTCCAGGAGTTGGTGATGCATAAGGAAGCCTGGAATGCTGCAGTTCAGTTACAAAGAGTCAGACACGACTGAGTGACTGAACTGAACTGAACTTACCAGGAGATGGCATCAGATGCCACAAATTAAGGCTTCAGTCCCACAACACTGTCCCACACCCCAAGCCCCACCCCCAATTCAGACACTAATCTCAAGTTTAGGTTGTTATTTGTGGCTCTAACATACTGGCTATAAATCAGAAGTTTCTTTGCCCCCTCCTCCAGTTTGATTAATTTGCTAGAGCAGCTCAAAGAATTTGGGAAAGCCATTTTACTTACTAACCGGTTTATTATAAAAGGGTATTAGTCAGAAACAGCTCGATGGGAGAGATTCATAGGGTGAGGTATGGGGAAAGGATGCAGAGCTTTCTTGCTGTCTCTGAGGACCACTTTTCCAGCACCTCCACAGATTCACTCTCTGAACCCTAGTCATTTTGAGATTTTATCACATAGGCATAATTTATTGAATCATTAGTTATTGGTGATTGAACTCAATCTCCAGCCCCTCTTCCCTCCCCTGAGAATGGGATGGGGCTACTTTCGACCCTCTAGTAGCATTTTGTTCTCTGGCAGTTAGCCCCCATCCTTAGGTGTTTTCCAGAAATTACCTCATTAACATAAGGTCTGCTGCTGTTGCTCAGTTGTGTCTGACTCTTTACAACCCCATGGACTGTAGCCCACCAGGCTACTCTGTCCATGGGATTTTCCAGGCAAGAATACTGGAGTGGGTTGCCATTTCCTTCTCCAGGGGATATTCCCAACCCAGGGATCAAACCTGGGTCTCCCACATTGCAGGCAGATTCTTTATCATCTGAACCACCAGAGGAGCACCAGAACATAAAGTCTGGTGTGTTTGAAAAGGGGGTGTTATGAATATCAAAAGACACATTTATCACTCTTTGTTGTTATTGCTGTTCAGTCACTCAGTCATGTCTGACTCTTTTCCACTCCATGGACTGCAGCACACCAGGCTCCCCTGTCCTTCACTATCTCCTGAAGTTTGCTCAAACTCATGTCCATTGAGTCAGTGATGCCATCCAACCTTTTCATCCTCTGTCATCCCCTTCTCCTCCTGCCTTCAATCTTTCCCAGTATCATGGTCTTTTCCAATGAGTCGGTTCTTCACACCAGGTGGCCAGAGTATTGGAACTTCAGCTTTAACATCAGTCCTTCCAATGAATATTCAGGGTTGATTTCCTTTAGGATTGACTGGTTGGATCTCTTTGCAGTCCAAGGGACTCTGAAAGGTCTTCTGCAACACCACTTTTAATTTCATGGCTGGAGTCACTGTCCACAGTATGAGGAGTAGAAGGATGTGTGCTCATCTTCTCTGCAAGAACACCAAAATCGCAACTAGATACTGAACAGCTGTTACTGAGTCCAAGCTCACTCTGCTTGCTGCATGACAGGCCAGTGAATCTGAGCGAGGAGGTGCTGAGGCAAGGAAAATGACTTTAGTCGGGGAGCTGGCAGACTGAGAAGATGGCAGGCTAGCACCTCAAAATAACCATCTTACTGGGGTCTGGATACCAGGTTCTTTTATAGATCAGAGAGAAAGAAGCAGTGAGGAACTAGAGTCAAAAGGCAAAATAGAGAGGGAGAGGCAGTGGGGGAAGTAAAGTGAAACGGTCTTCAGTCTTCCAAAACATCTCCAAGGGAATGTCCAGCCTTTGGAAGGGGTGTGTTAATCTGTATTCACAGGTGGTCAGGGACAAACTGTCTCCATGAGCTGAACTTTAGTTTACATTCAAGCAGAGGCAGGGGCCTCCAGGCAAGCCATTGTGTATGAACTATAATAATAAAAGCAGTGAAAAGCAAGTCAAAGAAACAATTTGCAACATGGAGTCAGAATTGGCTTCCTCCCTGCAACACAACGTTTGACAGGAGGATGTTGGAACCCACTGAAAAAAAGACACTCCACATCCAAGGACAAAGGAGAAGCCAAAATGAGACTGTGGGAGGGGCACAGTCCTCTTAAAATCAACACTCATACCTGCCAGAGACTCTTGGAGGCAAAAACAAAAGCTTGTGCACACCAGGATCCAGGGAAAGGAGAGGTGACCCCCACGAGAAATTGAACCAGACCTGCCTGTGAGTGTTTGAGGGTCTCCTGCACAGGCATGGGTCAGCAGTGGCCTGCTGTGGGGACAGAGACACTGACAGCAGCAATCCTGGGAGGTGTGGTGTTCTGGCATAACTCCTCTTGGGGGAGGGCGTCATTAGCCCTACCACAGAGCCGCCAGGCAGATGATCCACAAACTGAAGAACAATTATACCAAAGAGGTTCTTGCACTGCTGGGAAAGTT